CGTTTCGGGCCTAGACCCGAAACGTCAGCCTTCCTGCTCCTCTGATGCTGCTTGGCCTGCTGTGTTCATCCAGCTCTACACCTTGTTATTCCACAAAGTGGGATCTTTCTTTCCTCCAAGACAGTACCATGGATTCTGCTTAGCCTCACTCCACTTGCTTCTTTGTCTAAGAGGGCCCAATCTCCATGTCAGTGCACTCACTCAAATGCAAATACCACATAACAAATCCAAAGTGGAGATTCATTAATTCAAGAGAATGGACTATACCCACCCCCTTCACTGGAGTGAAATTATTATTTGTTCAACTCAGAACCAAGTGAGATATGCTATGCAAATAATTGCCAAGCAAACTATATGCTGAATCCCAATTTTCAACTTACTTTCATTCCTAGAAAAGTCAATTACACTTTTTGCTGAAACGTAATTTATATTTGAATGTGAACATGGAGGTATGGTAAGTAAATTTGCAGATGACACCAAAATTGGAGGTGTAGTGGGACAGTGAAGAAGGTTACCTCAGTGTACAACAGGTTGAAGAGTGGCAGATGAAGTTTAATTTAGATAAAGGTGAAGTGCTGAATTTTGGAAAGGCAAATCAGGGTGGGACTTAAACAATTAATGGTAAGGTCCTGGGGAGTGTTGCTCAACAAAGAGACCTCCGAATGCAGGTTCGTACTTCCTTGAAAGTGGAGGCGCAGGTAGACAAGATAATGAAAAAGGCGTTTGGTATGCATGCTTTTATTGGTCAGTGCATGGAGTATAGGAGGTCATGTTGTGGCCGTACAGGACATTGGTTAGGCCACTTTTGGAAGACGTCGCGAAACTAGAAAGGGTTCCAAAGAGATTTAAGGATATTGCCAGGGTTGGAGGGTATGAAATTTAGGGAGAGGATGAATAGGCTGGGGCTATTTTCCCTAGAGCGTCAGAGGTGGAGGGGTAACTTTATAGAGGTTTATAAAAATCATGAGGGGGCATGGATAAGGTAAATAGGCAGAGTCTTTTCCTGAGGGTGGGGTCCAAAACTAGAGGGCAAAGGTTTACGATGAGGGGGTAAAATTTAAAAGGGACCGAAGGAGCAATGTTTTCACGCAGAGGGTGGTGCATGGTACAATTACAACATTGAGAAGGCATCTAGGTGAGTATATGAACAGAAAAGATTTAGAGGGATATGGACCCATCTAGGTGAGTATATGAACAGAAAAGATTTAGAGGGATATGGACCAAAATGCTGGAAAACGGGACTAGATTTATTTAGGATATCTGTTCGGCATGGACGAGTTGGACCGAAGGATCTGTTTCCATGCTGTACATCTTTGACTCTAACTGGGGAACCTGAAGTTGCTGATAAAATATTTGTTTAAAACTTTTGCTAACACTAGTTTCAATCTGATGTTGGCTGAATTTGACCCACTTGTTAAAATTACTGACTGACTATTTATCTACCACTGGGAAGGGAGCATGACTAAGGGATATTGTTTGCCTGAACTGGACTCAGCCAGGAAAAATAACTGGAGTTAAATCACAGAATCGTACAGTAAAGAGGTCATCCTGCCCTCAAGTCTGTATCACCAAAAATGTACTACAACCTACCCAATCTTCGTGGCTGAAATGTTCCACACCAAGCACCCCTCCTGTGCAATCATGCGTGATCAGAAGTGCACGCAGTACTCCAGCTGTGAGCTAACCAAAGTTCTGTATAACCTAAACATGATTCGCTTGCCTTTAACTACCCTATTAACATGCCCTGCCACCTTAAAGAATGTGTGAATTAGCACAAGATCCCACTGTTCCTCTAAGCCTCCTAATCATTCATTATTACCTTTGTCCTGTTATTTCTTCCAAAGTGCATAATCTCATTTAACAGGGTTATACTCCATCTGCAACTGATCTGCCCAATCTGTTTATATCCTTCTGCAACCTAAGACCTGTCTCCTCACTGTGAACTGGCCAATCTTTGTGTCTTCCACAAACATCACTGTCTCCGCCCCTCCACAACATTCTCAACTACATCATTTATGAATATCACAAATAGTAAAGAACTCAGCCCTGATCTGTGGTATGCCACTGGCCTCCAGTCACACAAATAGCTTTCTGGCATTAGCTAATTTTGGATCCGTCTAAAGAAAAGAGCAAAGGGGTATTAATCACATGATAACAAATTATAGAACAGAATTTAGGAGGAATTTCTTTACACTGCTGAAAATATGGAATTCACTAAGAGAATGGTTAATGCTTAGCTGCATTTAAAGGTGATATGAGGGAGAAAGCATGGGGCAAGATTGTGACATGTCAGCACCTGCATTAATCATTTGGTCTGAATGGTTTTGTTTCGGTGTGCTGCAGATTCTACACAATAAAAATCACATCACTTCTTTCTTGCAGTTAACAGCTAGGAGGCCTCGTTCATATTGCGAAGGGATGGAACTAGTAAGCTTGGAAAAAAACTGGACAGCATGAAAACATACAGAAAGTCATCCTTTTCCTGAAGGTCAGGAACATTTTCCTACTTGGATTGGGAGCAGTACACGAATCACCAGAGTATCTTTTTCCATGTTATTGTACTGCCCCACACAAAAACAATCAGCCTTCTACTTGGCTTTGGAGTTTTAACGTCACTCCTGAGAGTGCAAGCTTCCTGTGGAACCAGGCTACAACAACAGATTAAAACAACATGCCATCTGCTAACTGCACTCTGACCTGTGCTGAACAACGAGCCCTTGTGCTTTGCATATACAGGCGACGAGGCAGTGGGTTGAGAGGGTGCATGCATGTTTCTTGAACTTAACATGCACAGCTTTGAACTTGGATTGAAACACCAGAAAAGGAAACAACCACTACAGATAAAACCATTGTGCAGAAATAACAGAACTGAAGGGATATAAATGCTGAGCAGCCAAAAAAAGTCATGATTTATTAATATTTGAAGTAACTTCATAATTCAACACAACCAAATTATACATTTTACAATCACATTCTATTTGTAAACAGTTAAAAAGCCACTGACTTGTTTGCATCTTCCAACAGACAGTTATAATGAAGGCAATGAAATGGTGGCATTGTCTGCAGTGTTAAAATTGTGTCCTGGTTTATCTGCTCTCTGTACAAGCACAAATGAATACATTTAGTGGCAAAAAAAAACAAAAAAAGTGTAAAGTAATTTGTTTTCTGTAGGACTCATATGCAACTTTTACATTAAAAACACCCTCTTACAGATGAACGATATGATTCTGTAAACCATCAGAGCTGGTTACAGTATGCATAGTTACAGATCTCAGCCAGTTTCTCTTTTTAAGTACAACAGTCATTGGACACAGTCACAATAGCAAAATACATTTAGCCACTCAATAATGGGAATATAAAGGAGGGAAAAAATAAAGTATATATACTACAACATGTCACCTTCACTCACTATAAAAAGACAGCAATTTCAAAGCAATGACTGGAAACTCCAGCTTGAAGCAGTTTAACTTGGCAAAAAAAGGTAACTTTTACAGAGCAGTTTAATTCAGTGCTAAAGTTGGGGGTTTCTTACACAAATCTACCAGGAGTTTCTACTGTGTCGGAGGCGGGGAGGGGGGAACTATTTCCTGAGAACCATGCTCTCTCTTGTTTCAGGATATAGAGGAATAGAAAAAAAAAGAACATGGTCAAAACACTGTTCAATATTCCCAGAGATAGAACATCTTCATCTGCAATTTTTTTTTTAAATATTTTTTTAATTTTTTTTTCTATTTTTCATTTTTATGAATGATGGAAGAGTAAACATTTCCCCTCGAAAGTCTGTAAACAAGAGGGCACGACCAGGGCACCTCCAAAAAAAAAAAATGAAAGCTCTATTGAAAGTGCTGTACCCTCCTGGCTTGCAGGGTGGGGTTGCAAGTCACAGCTGCTGCCCACAGTGTCACACTGTAGAGATTAAATTCTTTAGGTTTTCATTTTATCATATTAAAACGTTTTCAAAAGAAACAGATTGGTGCAATACTTTTTGAAATTGCAAAGTCAGTATGATAACGACCTTGCTCTACAATACCACATTAAGGTAAGTACATGTCAAGGCATATTAAAGAGCACACTTTGTCCATTTTTTCCTTGCTAAAAGAACATCCTTGAGTAAACATTTACACTTGAACTACCCTCTCCCCCCCACCCCGCCCTATTGCCAATCGGACAGGGAGACAGTACTCAGTGCAGATTAACAGCTCACACTCCCATCAGCTAACTCAAAGTTTTGGAATTTAAGGAACAAACATGATGAGTGCACACAAACTAGCTCATTTGAAGCAGTTTTTTTTTTCTTTTTAAATGGATAGCACTATCTGGAAGTATAAATATATACTTTTTCACATTTTTAACTATTGGCCTGCATGATTCAAGTATTAAAACTGATATGTTCTGGGCTAAAAGAAAGTGGAAATAAAGGTGCAGAACGGAACATTTCCACAGGTGACCCCTTTTTCCCCCATTTCTCTCACGCTGTAGGTGAAAAGTCCAATTAGTGCTGCTTTTCATGTAGAGGTCACAGTTTGAGTCATGAGTAAAGTTCAGATGGACTCTCCACTTCCAAGGTGGTCAACAGGGAGGAAAGCATTGATGGGGGAGGGGCTGCCAATTCCCCGCGTGTCATTGCTGCTTGGGGTTCCCCAGAGGCTTGTGGAATAATTGGGGGTGCCCCAGAGTGAAGTGCCGTGGAGGTCTCCACTACCTGTTCCTGACAACCCAGCACCATTCCAGTGATTGAGATCATTGCGATTTGAGAATGGGTGGGAACTGTCAATGGATGCAATACGGTTCTGGCTGGATCCCAGAGATTGCCAGCCCAGAGAGGGGGTCAGCGACTGGCCTTGTGCAAAGAAGCGATTAATCTCGTCTTCACTGGCAAACTCAGCAAGAATGGTAGTGTTCCCTAAAACACACCTGTAAACCAAAGGGGGAAAAAAAAGTCAATTGCAGTTAACAACCTATCCTCATATAACAATGTGAAAGTAAAGAAACAAACCATGGTGGTTGGGGGTGGGGGGGGGGGGGGGGGAAGAGAAGGAATTGTATTATTTGTTATTCAGCAGAGATGAGTTTGGTTTGTAAAGATAGATTTTCATAAAGAAATGGATTATGGATTTTTAAAAAAAATCTCCTTGGTGTGGAATTGGAAAAAAAAACTTAACCATGACAAATAAGTGATAGCACAAAGGTGGTCAAAGCATCAGTAGAAAAAGCCTAACGAAATATCCTAGGGGAGACTCCAGAGGTTTGTGTATAGAAATGGGAAGAAAATTTATTGCTGGGAATGCACTGGTTATTTTTAGTCAGGTAGGACTGGCATCATGTTTCATTTTTTCCCCCAGAGTCAGTAAAGAGGTGACAAGGAGGAGATTATCAGTTAATCATCATGACAAAGAATTTGTAGCACTAATCTAGATGATTTAGGTCTGTGCAAACATAAATCAGGCTGGAAAAGATTCAAGCAGGGATCTTCGTCAGAGACCTTGAAAGCACCATGTTCAAAGGCCCAACTTGGTACAGGTAGTTCAGAGGCAATACAACGGTTGCAGAGGACAGACAAGTTCTGGGCTGGATCTGGAGGAGGTAAGGCTGCTGGATTTGAAAGTGAAGGGAAACTGGTTTTGAAACAGACAGTGGAGAGAGAACTATTTATCATCAGTAATAAGTTAGGCTAGTTTACAAATTAAAAACAAAATCAAGGTGGCCCACAGTCTGGTGACTCTTTGTAGGCTTTCCCCAGCAGATCATCCCTTCACATCTTTTATAACTGTTCTACTCTTTTAAATCTCATTATTCTACTTTATCCCCTTATCGACTTTTTGATCATTTTTCGGTGGTCTCTAAAACTCCCATTTCCCAGGCTGTTCTGTGCAACATCAGAGGCCTCTTCTTTTAATCTAATACTATCCTTGACTTATCTAATGAGGTACTCATGGATTTTTCTGGCTGAGTTACATACCACCATACTTTTTGTTCCTTTACCCAAACAAAATTAGTCAGTTTTCCCCTCATATCCACATAACTGGCCTTTTCTTGTTTCATTTTCGAGTATTCACACTTAGACTTATTATGGAGTTTAAATTATATTTTTGCCACATTCCCTATCTACCCTCCTGATCTTTTTCTGAGATTACTAATTAATCCTCATCATGCAACACTAGATTTGAAATAGTTTTATCCTTCGTTATTTCCATAATGTACTAGCCTCAGAAACGGTCATGAAAACTTTCTACATCTTCCAGAACACAGTTTTTATTTAAAATTGCCCTGTTTAGCATTGTCTCATTTTAATGTTGTTTATTGTAGTACCTGACCCAACTAGTGTTGTTTTGGTGAAACTTGCTCCAGTCTGGGACTTGGGCAGCTTAACACCCAGCCTCCCGATTTGCAGCCTCTCCATGTTCCACATACTGCCCAAAATCTGCAGCAGAGAGACCTACCCACTAAGGCCCAAATCATCTGTCAGAGTCATTGCATCGAGGAGCAGCCCCATTTAACAGTGGCCCAGACAGACCCAGAGATGATGGCAATCAGATAAAAGGGCTGCTGCGTTCCCTCAAAAAGATGGTCGCAGCTAGTAACAACTAAGGCCTCAGCAGGCAGCCTGGAACCTAATAAACAAACTACAAATAGTTTCTTGGTTTTCGGAATGATGCAGCACTGCTGTGACATATTTGCAAAGTAAAATGCCTCAGGACTTGCTCCTACTTTATTGTCACACATCCATGGCTTGGTTATTTGGAGTTTCGAAATTCTTACATCATGAGACACTTTTTCTGCCGCTTCCCAGTGGCTCAGTGGTTAGCACTGCTGCCTTACAGTACCAGGGTCCTGGGTTCGATACAGGCCTCAGGCAATGGTTTCCTCTGGGTGCTCCGGTTTCCTCCTATGCTCCAAAGATGTGCAGGTTAGGTGGACTGGCCATGCTAGATTGCCCATAGTGTCCAGGGATTGAGGAATGGGATGCTCTTTGGCGGGTCAGTGTGGGCTCAATAGGCTGAATGACCTGCTTTCACATTTGGGGATTCGATAATATCTGTATCCGCAAAATGCAAGATTTCACCCCAGATTATTAATAAAGCTCATGTGCAACTTACATGTGTAGAGATTTCTGTGCCTTGGCTGCCTCTTCCTTCGAACTGTAACAGACCAAAGCGTTTCCATGGGGTAGGTTAAGGTGGAATGTTATTAGTGGGCCGTGCTGCATGCACAGTGTACGCAAAGTAGAGCCATCAATCTGAAGGTTAAAGACACAGCAACAGTCTAGTCAGCAAGATTTATCCAGGCCTGTAGCATTTCTTTAACATATTTAATACAATAAAACATCCTAAGGTGCTTCACGGGAAATGATTTCAAAATTCAACATCAACTAACAGAAGGCAACATTAGGACAGTGACCAAAAACATGATCAAAAGGGTAAGTTTTAAGGAGAAGCTCACTGGAGATAGGATTATAAGGACAGAGTTCAGAGTTTAAAATCTAGGATGTTGAAGGTATGACCGCCAATGAAAAGGTGAAGGAATTGGAAAGAGGTGAAGGAATTGGAAAGGTGAAGTTTGGAGTAAGAGATCTCTTACCTAGAATGCACCATAACTGCCTGATGGACAAGACTGAGAAAGTGCTAAACAGAAGCTCCCGATGTATAAAACACCAGTTGTTACTCATAGGCAATTACACTATGAACCTCAATTATCAAGAGGGGAGAAATTTAAAATTGCGCTATATCTTTATCACATTCTGAATACCTTCATACAGCTCAAAAAAAAAATCGAGTAAGTTATGCTCTTGAACCACCGAGCTTCTGTTTAATCTCTGTTGCTAGCTGTAGCAGCAAAAGCTGGAAGAGAGGAAACAATCTAAGCAAGCCAGGGTTCCAGTAATCCAGTGACCTGGAAAATATCCCAGTAAGACAATAAAATTGATCTGTTGACTCTGTCTCCAATCACATACAGTGAATGCCATTTAAAAAAGGAAGCTGCAGAGGATTCCCGTGCTCCTCGGCACAATTCGATGCCTTTGGAAATGGAGAAAAGTGAATTAAGATTGGACAGGTTAATTTGCTTGTAATTTAAAATTGCTGAAGTTTACAATATGTAAACAATCTTGGTCCTTTCCAGTGGCAACGACGTTACAATTTCTTAAAATGGTGAGAGTCAGGGATCAGGGTAGACAGTTTAGGTTCTCAGTCAAGATTCAATTAACTACAGTGGAAGGTATGCAGGAGGAGTGAGCTGCTATGCATATGGATTATTGAATCACAGCCTGAATAAGATGGATTTGCTTACCTGAGGCGTGAGGTTCTTGAGAACAAGCCAATTGGTTATTCTCCCTGAGCTGATGTCGCCCCAGCTTGGACCTGCATTAAATCAAAACAAAGATGCAACTAACAAAATGGAGATCATCCCCAATCATCTGCCCTATTACTCAAACTAACATCTCAATTGGAAAGCTCCTATTCTCCATTCTGTTTGATGTCAACAATCAGTGCAATCCAGCAGTCTCTGTGATCCTGATCCTGGAGTTCATTCCAGTGTACTATTAACACTGATGGCCGGGAATTGAACCCAAGTCAACTGCGGGGAAGGCAGCTATGCTTACCACGAGACCATCACCAATGCATCCAGCAATACCACAGGTCTGTGTGGAGCTTGCACATTCTCCCTGTATCTGCGTGGGTTTCTGCTGGGTGCTCCATTTTCCACCCACAGCCCAAAGATGTGCAGGTTTAGGTAGATTTGCCACGCAAAATTGCCCAGTATCCAGAGGTGTTTGTTAGTTGAGTTGGCCATGGGAAATGTTGGGTTACAAGGAAAGAGTACGAGGATGGATCTGGTTGGGATGCTCTTCGTAGGGTCAGTGTGAACTTGTTGGGCCGAATGGCCTGTTTCCACACTGTAGGGATTCTATGATTCGATTCTATGAGTTTCCAAAACCAACTTGTAATCCTCACCCCAATACAATGCAACAACCATTTAAAACCATACCTGCGGAGAAGACAGAAGTTAAAATTGCTGCTTTGGTTATTAAACATGCATCTTTTTAATGCTGTGGAGGACAGAAAATTCTTTTATATTCTCCACATAACCACTTGACCAATATTCTTTGTATATATTTTTGCAATCCCAGCTGATGTTACTACGGGACAAATCAAATCCCAGAATGAAATCTGGCCTGATAAATCATATTTCTTTTTGAAAATGCAGCAGATTTGGTTTTATAAATAAAACAAAAGTTCATTACATAAAGTAAATAAAAGGAGGAAATAAAACAGACAAAGCTATCTAGATGTAGCAGTTGAAAGAATCTGAAACAATCAGCAAAACAAAATCCCAAATATTCCCCAACACCAACACTTTATAGTTACTCAAGCAAGAGAAAGTTTCTTTCTCAAACAAATCCGTAGGCTTGATTTAATTGCTTCTTCTCAGCTCCTGTCATGTGAACTGAGAGACTTTCTCTGTTGACCATTCACAATTCAAAGCTTAGATTTCCTTAGCCTTTTAATAATCTGTAAAAACTTTAAGCAAATAACTGGTCTGGAAGTGTCAGTCTGTTTTACTGAGGTAATTTATTACCTCAACTGCTCTGAACAATCTCCATTTGTAAGAGATTGCATTTGAATCTGACTTCAATCAGGGGCTCCTCTGAACTGCACAGAAGCATTATGTATGTAGTTGAGGGTGCGGCCCTTTTAAGAGAGCTGGTTAGGTGACCTGGAGGGGCAGAGCTTGGGACCAGTCTAAAACTGGCTGCGGAGGTGTGTACATTGTCAATAAAGTTTTCCTGCTCAGATTTACCATTTGTCTACCTGGTATTTAACTCCTGGTTTCAAAGGAAGCACCAACTGTGTGGAAAAGTAGGCTTTTTATTTTTTCGGAAGTAGACACATCCAGGAGCTACTGAAGTTGTCGTGGAAAGCAGTCTCAGGGGAACTTGGGCTGCGGGTGACGCCAGAGGAGGAATGGTTCACTGGCACAGCCAGTGAGGGAGCGGCTGATACAGAAGTGTTCGATGAGGGGACTCGGGCGCGAATGATTACTAGATTCGAGCAGCAGGAAATATTCCCACCAGCAGGAAAACAAAATGGTGAGCCAATTTGGGCGATGGGAGAGCTTAATGAAGCGTCAGAAAATTGACATTATATACAGAACACTTTCATTTGTTATTAAAGACGAACACCTTGGCTGAGGACACCTTTTTTTTTTTTTTTTAAGTATCATCAGTAGTAAGATCTTCACAATTCTAGGAGTCTGGTACAACCAGGGAAACCCACGGAAAAGACATTGCAAGAGCTAAGCAAAGTATTAGGAAATTATTTTGCACCCAAGCCACTGGTGATCACGAAACATTTTCATTTTTACGGATGGGTACACACGAAGGGGAGTCCATCGCCCAATTCACGTCTGCTTTAAACAGATTAGTGGAACACTGCGAGTTCGGAGGGTTCCTCCAAGTCATCTTGCAGAACCATTTGGTTTGTGGACATAAAGCTATCAAACAGAAGCTACTAACAAGGAGAGGCTTGGATTTCAAGGCAGCTTTCGAAATTACTACCTCAATGAAGTTTTAGAAACACTGATTTGGCCTCTACAGCCTTCTGCAACAATGACTTCCACAGATTCACCACCCTCTGGCTCAGTTCTAAAGTGTCATTCCTTCACTGAGGCAATGCCCTCAGATCATAGTCTCTTCTACGAGTGGAAACATTTTCTCCACATCCACACTCTCCAGGCCTCTCGATGTTCTGTGAGTTTCAATGAGATTGCCCCTCATCCTTCTAAACTCTGTCAAGTACAGATCCAGCGTCCTCGACTGCTCCTCACATGACAAGCCATTCATTCCCAAGATCATGCTTGTAAACCTTTTCTGGAGCCGCTCCAAAGCCAGCACATACTTCCTTAGATATAGGACCCTAAACTGCCCTCAATACTCCAAATGCGGTCTGACCAGAGCCTTAGAT